TGAACCCGGGCTGTCAACGTCCAGGTGACAAGCGCAGGATCTTTAATCACTGAGCCGTCACATAATAAATCAGTTTAACTGGACCTTCATGTGTGAACCTGGTCTTTCAAACCTGAATAGCTAATCCATCTTTCTTGTCTTTCCACAGAACTGAATTTCACCTGCTCTGGTACCACACTGAAACTGTCCAGTCGGTTGCTGGCCACGTCACCGGAAGAACGGCAGCTCCTTATCCAGTGGCAACAGAAATTCTCCCTAAGTTCCCACCTATTTTCTGTGGATGGGATATTCCTCCGAACTAATGCACCCTGTACATCTTCCAGTGAGATGCTACCAATAGCTAAAGGTGAGGCGATCAGGTGGTGACCAAAGATATGTGGGGAGAGGAGGAGGAATGAAAGTGACACAGGTGACCCCAGATTCTTCAAGGAAAGAATTTTCTTTCTCCTTCCTTCCTTCCTTCCTTCCTTCCTTCCTTCCTTCCTTCCTTCCTTCCTTCCTTCCTTCCTTCCTTCCTTCCTTCCTTCCTTCCTTCCTTTTTTCTTTCTTCCTTCTTCTCTTTTTCTTCCTTCCTTCCTTCCTTCCTTCCTTCCTTCCTTCCTTCCTTCCTCCCTCCCTCCCTTCCTCCCTCTCTCTCTCTCTCTCTTTCTTTCTTTCTTTCTTTCTCTCTCTCTTCATAATTTTTGCATTGTGACTGATTCCATAAATAAACCATTAAAAGAAAGCACGGATGCCTCTAGCCTTTATATTAATAATTCGTTTTTCTCTTTTTTTCCACAGCTTCACTTGAAGGCTGGGAAATTGCTTTTTTGGTCTTGGGTTCCATTTTGCTCATACTGCTGTTAATCGGTGGAACTTTCTACTGTATAAAAAGGTAAAAGAAATAAGAGCTGCTATTGGGATTTGTGCTGAAGCCAAAGCTAGCAACGAAAACGTGAACCTACAACATTGATCCAGTATGAACCTGTCTCCATTATCCTGTATGTGTACCTTTGCCCAACCTGGTACCCACCTAATGTGCTGGGCAGCTATTGTATGTGCTCATGTCCCTGGGGGATTCTGGGAGTTGAAGTTGAAGTTAGTTGCCAAGGTTTAGAGAAACACGATTCTAGGATGTTGCTTAGATTCCGCAACCATCTCTGTTCTTTCTGTTTATGAGAAACAGAGCAGAAGCAGCCTGCTCCGATCCTCTCCCCATCTCATTAAGCAAATAAAACTCACGCTACTCTAACCTATTTCCTTCTGGGTTTTCCAGACCGCAGAACTACAACAACATTGAACTGAATGATCGCTGTGAGATTATATCAGACATCTGATTCTACCAGGAAGAGCCTCCGTAAAGAAAAAAACTATTTTGGGATCTAATGAAGAGGTAAATCTCAGAAGAACGTTCCGGCCAACCGAGCACAGTGTAAACGGATCAAATTCCTGGAGTATTTATTTTGAGGGTGACGTTTTTTCTGTTCCCCCATGGAGTGTGAGAAACCTACCTCTTTGTTCCTACAGGCATCTCTCACTGCCAGCTTGTGTGAAAAATTGGTGGGGGTCCCATGATATTTTCCCCACCCACCATGAAAAAAATAAATGTGATTATTTTCTCCCTGTAACTTATCAGTGGGAGTAAAGTGCTTTGCCCACCACAATCAGAGAGAGAGAGAGAGAGAGAGAGAGAGAGAGAGAGAGAGAGAGAGAGAAAGACGAGAGAGAAGAGAGAAGAGAGAGAAGAGAGAGAGGGAGGGAGGGAGAGAACAGAGAGAGGAGAGAAAGAGAAAAGAGAGAAGAGAGAAGAGAGAGAAGCAAAACAGTTTCTTTAGAGGCAGAATGTTCAGGATTCGATTCTAGTAAATCCGGAATTATTTTTTAAGAGAAGAAAGGGGTTGGGAGGGCGGAGATCTGTTTGAAATTAGCTCACCCGGATGGATTGTTAATCAGGTCTATGGTGGCTTCACTCCCCCTAAGCAATGGATTGTCTTAGTTGTGATGTGTGTTGCCACTGACAATGCATGCCTCAAATACTGTTTGTTTTATGGGACCTCTCTCAGGGGACCTTGCCTCTTTCCATGCAGAGAAAATCTCAGGTTCATTTCCTAGTTTAGGAAACAGGAAAAGATCAGTTCAGGCGAACATTGTCACGAAGCCGTTGGTTGAGGTGACATTTTAAGCTGTGGGCAAGGAGGCAACTGGACGCCAGGCAGTTTTCTAGGCTCACCTCCCATTTCCTAAGCAATAAAAGTCAGTATGTAAACAAAAGAAATTAAAAAATAAAAATAAAAAGAGGTCAGCCTTGTCCAAACATTCCATTTTCCCCAGAATGAAACTCAGGAATTTGTATAGTAAAAAGTTGACTGTAAGCCGTCACCTTGCTCACATAGCTACCAACTCTGCAGACTTGAATTTCTTGCTCACTGCAAGAAGACTACAGCTAAAATTAAAATATGTTATTTTTATAAAACAATGCCACAAAGAGAAGGTGGTATAAATTGTGAAGGCAATCTTCCATGGGGCAAAGGCCAAATTCAGTATCTACCAAAATGTGCTGTCCCAGAACCAGCTTCTCATGCCTCTACAGATGTGAATAGGGGGTCCTTAGTGCTCTCTGAACTTGTTTGTATTCTTGCAGCTGTTTCGTTACCCAGCTAGGTAGCATCATCAGTGCTAGAAGGAAGTGGGGTTTGCTCATGTAGCAGGGATGATGTTAGGGTTTTAATTTTTTTTTTTATAGCTGTACCCGGCCACGCGTTGCTGTGGCTCAGTCTGGTAAAAGTGTGTGTGTAAAAGTTGCTTTTACATCCAACAGATGGCGCTGTTTTTCAAAAAAGCATGTTTTTACCTGTCACAGGTGTGACATCTATATAATAGAGGTATATAGAAACACGCGCGTATTCGAATGCAACGTTGTGTCAAAATTTCAAAGCAATCGGTGAAGAACTTTCAGAGATTTAAGATTTTGAACAAACGAACATTTACATTTTTATTTATATAAAATATTAACTTTTAATCAGCTACTGCCCTCTGCTGATCCCCTGGCATTGCAGCAATTACTAATTAAATTGCCCATCCATATACAGTACTTTCTGATCCTGTAGAACAGGGGTCTCCAAAACCAGCAACTTCCTTCCACAGAAATAAGGAAGATGAACTTGACAGCAAAGATGTGGTGACTCGGTGGCTTAATGATGCTGGAGGAGATGGTCTCAACTGTGGCGGTCTGAGTTGTAGTTTTGCCCACCACCATCTTACATTTTTTCCCCATTTTTAAAAATCATACTGTTCTCTTGTTTTTTTCCAGTTCTGGCATTCGGGGAGTTGTGAAATAAATGTTTAATTGCTAATTCGTTCTTCTTTTTCCTCTGATCATGGAGATCTTATGATGTTTGTTTTTGCTGTCCCTAGGCTGGAAATTTATTTATGGTTGATTGTATTTTATTCTGTTGTGAGCCACAGGGAGTCAGAATGACTGGGTGGCCTATGAATAGACCGAAAAATAAAAAAAAAAATTGGAACGCAGCTTACTGATTGATTTTCAACTATGAGACCTGTCAAGGGATCTGAAGTTTCTCTTCCTGACAATTCTTTAGAGCTTTTTCCCCTCTAACTTTTTCTGTTTTTCACCTTTCTTTGGAAATGGATGGCTTGGCTTACAGCTCTCCTTGTCACAATTAAAGCAAGGATCGTCTACAAATTGGGAAATCGCTTCTCTTTGCCTTTCTAGTTATGCTAAGCAATGGAGACCTTCAGCACTAGGAAGTTGTTAAGTAGAAGCACATTTGTGTGGCCGACAGAAGAGACCAATGTTCATCCTGCACTACAAGTCCATGACTGACAATTTGTTTAGCAGCCATTCAGAATTACAATGGCACTGGAAAAAGTGACTTATGACCAGTAAGCAAGGGGTGGGGTTCACACAACATGCTTCATCACAAATTAATAATATGATAACAATCATATGTGAATAAAAGCCAGTTTGGGGTAGTGGTTAAAGCACCAGGCTAGAAACCAGGTGACTGTAGGTTCTAGTCCTGCTTTAGGCATGAAGCCAGTTGGGTGTGACTTGGAGCCTGTCCATCTCTCAGCCCTAGGAAGAAGAAAGCGAGGGCCAACTATTTCCAAAAATTTTATGGTTAAAATTTGTTCAGCTTTGCCCACAGTGTTAGGATAGCCCTACATCCCATCAAGACAGCTGGAGATGAATTTGATGCATGATCCACCTGTGTATTTCGTAACCTCTTAATATCAACATTCACCATAAGATATAATGCCATCCAGTCCAATCAAGGCTGCGAAGTGAGTCGTTTCTCCAGGTTGCAATTGCAACTCTTCTACCCAAATTTCTAGCTAGATCTTCTGCAACATCTGGAACCTGCTGTGGTGCTGGCATGGTCTTCTGTAACATTTAGAATCTGTTGTGATGCTAGCATGGTCTTCTGCAACATCTTCTATACCCAGATTTCTGGCTAGATCTTCTACTGGAATATGTTGTGATGCTAGCGGTCTTTTGCAACATCTGGAACCTGCTAATGGTATTAGCAATCTCCCAAAACATCTGGAACCTACTGCATGCTAGCATGGCCTTCTGCAAAATCTAGAACTTGCTTTTCGTTTCCCCGAAAAGATGAAGAGTCCTATGTACCACAATTCCCATGAGTCCAAACCATGGCAGTTGATGACAGCTGTGGTCCAACACATCAGGAGATTTTCACTTGTTTGTAAAAAAAAAAAAAAAAAAAGAATATTGGGTTTTTGTTTTGCAAACTTGAGTATTCTCATGGTTTTGCATGCACTCATCGCTGCAAATCTAGCTTTCTTGGCGTTCTCCTAAACGCGACCCCGCCAAGAAGCAAAAATCGCCTGTCTGGCCCTTTAAAAAAAAAGGGGGGGGGAGGAGTCGTAACCTTGGAAACAGAGGCGTCTAGGATTCCAACGCCTTTTCCCGGTCGCCGTCTTTGACGCCATCCGCCTGCGCCCGGCTCTGCGGAAGGCGGCAAACTACGTCACCGCGAGCGCGACGGTAGGAGCAACGGGCGATCTCTGAGGATGTAAGTAGCGGAGAGGCGCTAATCCGTCGCCATCTGGCTCGGGGACGGCCGCGAGAGCGGCGGGAAGCGGTTCGCCGAGCCGCTGAGGGCCTTCTCAGCAGGGTCGGCCTCGTGGAGGAGCGTGAGGCCCGCCTCGGGAGTGCGGAAGGCCCGGACGGAAAGTGGGGAGGGGACGCTCCTCTGAATCTTGGAGGACGGGGCGGCGTGCGGGTGGGTGACGTAGAACCAAGCTGGCTCCGCCCCTTTCTGGCCTCTTGCTCAAAGCAAGTTCCTGGGGGGGGGGGCTGTTGGAGCTGTTCCCCTTTTGGGGGGGGGGAGAAGGCACTGGGTTCCCCAATGATCCATTGTAGAACTTGAAAGTAATTTTTGCACCACTTACAGACAGATGCCGCCCTGTAAGGTTTTACACGGTTTGCTGCCGTTGCTTTTGCAAAAAAAATAATAATATGTGATTTATTCCAATTTTTTGGAAGCGGGGGAGAGGCAGTTCTGTGCCTCCCTTCATTTTTTTTAATGGAATTATGCACCATTTCAATCCAGTTGGATTCTGGGTAGTTTTCAGGGTGTATAATAACGCATAATCATGCATAGTACAGAGATATAACATCATACATCGCTGTAATAAAACTGGGAAGTCTTGCTTTGGTGGCTTCCCAAATGGTTCTCCCAACTTTACAAAAGGCCAGATGAGTATCTGATGGGGGTAGGCTGGAATTCGGATGCTCACTCGGGATAAAATCTCACCGGAAGTGCTTTGGTTTTGTAACTTGTGTTCTTTTCATATTTAAAGAGCTAAGAGGGAAGCAGAGATAGTGGTGGAGCTTGATATGAGGGTTGAACTAAAGGTAGGATAGGGAGAGTAGCAGTGAGATAAAAGTAAATGTTATCTGGTGCAGTAAGAAAATATCTTGTTCCATCTCTGAAAAAATACTAAATTGCAGGTTGGTTTAGATGCCAACAGGATGTCATAACTAACAGACTCTCTTAATGTATGCCTTCCAGATGAGACAAATGCTTACAGCATTCCAAACTAACATATTTCAGTATCTAAATAGTCAAATAATCTCATAGTGCCTGTTGGGGCCCCGATATCTAAAACTTGTAGTACAAAGATTAAAATATGTTTAGCAGTTCTTGCTCTTTCCAAAAGGGTGACCCCAGTCAGGTTTGCTGGGGAAATGCTTCTATATAGTTAAATAGAAATATATGCAAATATAATTATTACCTATACAATATACTATTGAATAGAGAGTATATCTTTTAATGCTGCTATACTGAAGATTAAAAGCTATAGAAAAGTTATTGCATCTATATCGGTTAGAACACAGTGCAGAATTGTTTACTTTACTATGATTTGTTGAGTAGCCAGGTCTGGCTCACATATAAGGTTAAGCCATTAACCACTGATCATGTTTGATTGGATCACAAGTATCCCAAGTTTTTTAAGCAGGATTAGTAAGTCTGGGAGCCCTGCCCTCAAATTTTATTCATGCTTAATTTTATTCATATTTAATTTTTAATTTAATTTCATATTTAAAGATTCCATCCGTATTTGGGTCAAAGCTCCTGCAAAGCTAACCAAGTAGACACTCTAATTCCAAAAATTATGCAACCGTCAATGACGCTCCTTTCATATCCCCTGCCCCTCTCCCCCCCAATTAAAGATACAATTCTGGGAAAACTTCAGACAGAAAAACTTGTTTGCGATGGTGGCGGAAAAAACTGCATTCTTCCTTTGTTTAGTATTAGAGGTCCTTAGAAAGTATTCAAATACAGTATCTTCTAAAATACCCAGTATATATCAGTGTTTCTCACCTGAGCAACTTTAATTTGTGTGGACTTCAGGTCCCAGAATTCTCCAGTCCACACCAATTAAAATTGCTCAGATTGGGAACACTGATTTAGATTATTCAGCAGGTGCCATTTTCAGCCAGGCAATTTGCTGTTTACGCCCACCCAGTGCTTTGCATGAATATTGGTTGATATCATCTGCTGTTCTTATCAAATAGGATTTTTTTTTTGTTCTCCTTCTGCCTGTATGCTAATTGTCTCTCAATGCTTTTGTCTTGTCACTAGGCTGCTCTCTGGAGCTTCTTGCAGTCGCTTAGGGATCCGTTAGAAGTAAGCTTTCAGATAAGTGAGGCCCCCCACAGAGCTGCTTTGGGACACCGAAGGGGAAAATGGAACTGTCAGGAATGAAAAAGAAGAGTTTGCTAGCCATCAAAGAAAATAATAAAAAGTCCAGCACTAGGTAACCGCTGTCTGAATTTTCAAGGCCTAAATTCTCCCAGGGACTGGAGGGAGGGGTGGGAGAGCCTACTGGGACATTCCTGGGAAGCATGAGTACAGATAATGCTCGACTTAACAACCACAGTGGAGTTCAACATTTCTGTTGCTAAGCAAGGCAGTTAAGTGAGGTTTGCCCCATTTTACGACCTACCTTGCCACAGTTGTTAAGCGAATCACTGCAGTGGTTAAGTGAGTCTGGCTTCCCCCATCGACTTTGCCTGTCAGAGAGTCATCAGAGGTGACATTGCAGCTGTCCTAAATAGGAGTCAGTTGGCCAAGCTTCCAAATTTTGATCCCACGGCCGTGAGGATGCTGCAGTGGTCATAAGTGTGAAAAAAAGGCCATAAGTCCTTTTTTTTTTTTTCTCAGTGCCACCGTAACTTCCAACGGTCACTAAACGGGCGGCCTGCAATTAGAAATGCTTCTCTTGGCTCCTTTCATAATCTTCCCTACGTGGCTCTGCCTTCCTTTGGACCTGCCCCGATAGGGTGTAGGCTGGGAATTCCCTGGCCTTCTCATCGTCTCGCTTTCGTTCGGCAGCCGAAGTTAGGCGATAACTTTCTGGCTTTTCTGTTCAAGGGCTCCCTCTCCGACCAAGCGCAAAGACCGGACTGAAGAGAAATCCAAGGACCGGTCCAAGGACAAACCAGCCACAAAGGAGTCCGGCGAAAAAGACCGTGGGCGCGACAAAACCCGCAAAAGGCACAGCGCCTCCAGCGGCAGCAGTAGCACCAGGTACACGGAATCCCGGGATCCCCGAAAAAGCGTACGAAAGGCAGGCCCTGCGTTTGTGGCTTCTGGGGAACTAGAAACTCACTTCCTGAGGAGTTCTTGTGGGGAGGCATGAGTTTCAGAGTTCACTTCAAAGCTTATCCCATAACTGGATACCGGGCCCCGAGGATGTGAAGGGCCCCATTTCCTGCCTGTGTTAAACACGAATAGTAACAGTTTTACTCGGTGCCGTATATATTTATCTGCCACTGTTTGAATAGTTTTCATGGTTTTTATGTTGGATGGTGTACACAGGCCAGGGTCACTTGTTTGAGCTGGGTGGCTGTAGAAATCAAATCAACTAAATTGTTACTTATTTCCATTCACCGCGTGCTGAGGAATGTTGGAGATCGTGACCGTGAAGGGCCTTCTACTGGTCTGGTCTTAGCCTCCCATTCTTACTGTTAAGGTTTTGATAGAAAGATAGAAATGATCCATTTTTTAAAAAATAAAACATTACTTCAATTCCTCTTTCTTGACTGAGGCATGTGAAAGCATGTGTGGGGTTTATGAGGGCTTCTTGCAAGCCTTCTAGATCAGAGGTCCCCAACCTTTTGGGCACCAGGGACCGGTTTCGTGGAGAGAGGTTTTTCCGCGGACTGGAGCGTGCGTGGCTTTCTGTGCTGCCTGCATCCCGTGGATGGGCTTTGCTTATTTGTGCGGACCGGTTGCTGGCATGCCGCGGCCCAGTACTGGTCCACGGAACCGGGGGTTGGGGACCCCTGTTCTAGATCAGGAGAGTTGATTCTGCTCAGTTGTGGTGATACATTGCTGCTGTTCTTCTCTCAGGTCTCGGTCAAGTTCCACCTCCAGTTCAGGGTCAAGTTCCAGCACTGGGTCCAGCAGTGGCTCCAGTTCCTCGTCTGCATCAAGCCGTTCGGGCAGCTCCAGCACTTCCCGTAGCTCCAGCTCCAGCAGTTCTTCGGGCTCTCCAAGCCCTTCGCGGCGTAGACACGACAATCGGAGACGGTCCCGTTCCAAGTGAGTGGCATTGCCTGAGGGAATGTGGTAAATCTGGAGTTGAACGAGATGGCTTAACGTCTTGGGAGTTGAGGACTAATTTTCACCCCTTGCTTTAAATCAGGGGTTTCCAAACTCTACAGTTCACTGATCCTTTTGTGAAGTTTCAGAGTATTCATCGACCCACCCACCCCCATATTATTTTAATAGTAACGTGAATACTAATAGTAATAATAATTATCTTGGATAGTCCATTAATTCTTGGAGATGATGTTGACCGCTCTGGAGAACTCTACTTTAAATCTTCGTGGGTGTAATTATTGAAAATAACAGTTGGTTTACATTTACCTGAAATGGTAAGTCATCAACGAAGAGTTGTAATGCAGAACATTGTAGGCCAGGGGTCGTCAGACTTGACCCTTTTATGACTTGTGGACTTCAACTCTCAGAATTCCTCAGCCAGGCACGCTGGCTGAGGAATTCTGGGAGTTGAAGTCCACAAGTTTGAAGACCCCTGTTGTAGGCAAAACCCTCATTGGGGCTCAGTTTTATGCCTGTACACACCAGATTCCTTCTATGATTTTGTAGAATGTAAATGCCAGTTAGCTTTTTAAAAAAAAACATTTTAAAGGCCCAATTTTAGGCATCTTGTAGCACCTTTTCCATATTTTCCATATTTTATTAAAAGGGAAAAGCTTTCAAAAGTTGCAGCTCCTTTTATCAGATGCAGAGTGACTAGACATAAAGAATTTAAACTGTGGGGGGGAGGAAAGGGAGGAGACAATAGTTTGGTTTATGCAGATGTAAACAATTTTTTTTAATCGCATTGCAATTGTTAATTGATAAGATACTTGTAATCAGTCTCATATGAATTTGCATAATCAACTTATTTGCGCCCCTTCCCCCCATTTCCCCCCATTTTAAATCCTACATCTAACTGCTGGTGCCTTTTAATAACATTTATTAATCAGAAGGGATGCTACCAAACTACTGATGTTTTTTGCTACCATAGATTTAACACAGTTGCCTTCCTATCATGTCTGAAGGTTCGACAAGTTCATTGAAACATACATCGTTCAGACAGGCTGTTGTTTAAATGGCAGCCAGTAGCTGACTTTTATTACAAGCTTGCTCATTAGAAAAAAACGATTTCTCTGTTTTCTCCAGATCTAAACCACCCAAGAGAGATGAAAAAGAACGGAAGAGGAGGAGTCCCTCACCCAAGCCCACAAAAGTTCACGTGGGGAGGCTTACCAGAAATGTCACGAAGGTAATTGTAACCGGTTGCTTAATTGGATTCAAAAGGAAGAGAAAATTAGACCCTGAAGGAGCAGAATCAAAGTCCTAATTAATTTGGATGTTGGGAATTTGGAGTCAAGCTGTAAAAGAACTGAGCTGGATTCATGAAAACACTGGTGTGATTTCAGGAGGAATAACTCGGGCTTACATTTGATCAGCCTAAATTCACTGTTGTTATCTGTTCTGTAGGTGGTTCTCCATAGTTTAAGAGAGACATTTCCCCACTTCACACACCCAATTGCTGTCTGAGGCTTTTCCAGTGTTGTTGTTAGTTGCGAAGTCGTGTCCGACCCATCGCGACCCCATGGACAACGTTCCTCCAGGCCTTCCTGTCCTCTACCATCTTCTGGAGTCCATTGAAGCTCACGCCTACTGCTTCAGTGACTCCATCCAGCCACCTCCTCTGTCGTCCCCTTCTCTTGCCCTCCATCTTTCCCAGCATGAGGCTCTTCTCCAGTGAGTCCTTCCTTCTCATTAGGTGGCCAAAGTACTTGAGTTTCAACTTCAGGATCTGGCCTTCTAAAGAGCAGTCGGGGTTGATCTCCTCCAGGACTGACTGGTTTGATCGCCTTGCAGTCCAGGGGACTCGCGGGAGTCTTCTCCAGCACCAGAGTTCAAAGGCCTCCATTCTTTGGTGCTCAGCTTTTCCAATAGTGAACCCAATTGCGCCTGTCAGTTGAACTTGCTGTCTTAAACCCTTGCTTCTATCACCACTAGTATTTCCTGTAAATATATACAGGAATATATTTTAGCTCAAGTAAGGAAGCACACGTGAAACACAAATCCCTCTGCATGGATTTGGCTTGATACGCTTCTATCTCGGTTAAAGCTGTAGCTGTCTCTTATTCAGTATTCTTTTAGGAAGACTAAAGGTAATGGGAATACGTAGTGATGCCAGGAATTCTTTTCCTTGAAGGATCACATCATGGAAATATTTTCTACCTACGGAAAGATCAAGATGATTGATATGCCAGCAGATAGGCTCAACCCGCATCTTTCCAGGGGCTACGCCTACGTAGAGTTTGAAAATCCAGATGATGCTGAAAAGGCCCTGAAACACATGGATGGAGGTAGGTGTCTGGAACTGAGAGGGCTTCAGATTGAACGTTAAAACATAGAAAATTGGGAGGGGAGAGGGGGGGCTCCTGTGGACTTCAGATGGCTGGCTGGGGAATTCTGGGAGTGGAAACACACACCTCTTCAAGTTGCCAAGGTAGAGAAACACTGTTTTACAAAGATACGTTGCTAGGGGTGGGGAAACTTCCATCTCATTGACGTGTTCTTCCTACTGACTTCCTTTTAACTGAGTATCCATCCCTTCCCAAGGCCAGGGGTAGGCAACCTTGGCTCTTTTATGACTCGTGGACTTCAACTCCCAGAATTCCTGAGCCAGCATAGCTATGCATCCATTCCCAAGGCCAGGGGTAGGCAACCTTGGCTCTTTTATGACTCATGGACTTCAACTCCCAGAATTCCTGAGCCAGCATAGCTATGCATCCATTCCCAAGGCCAGGGGTAGGCAACCTTGGCTCTTTTGTGACTCATGGACTTCAACTCCCAGAATTCCTGAGCCAGCATAGCTATCCATCCATTCCCAAGGCCAGGGGTAGGCAACCTTGGCTCTTTTATGACTCGTGGACTTCAACTCCTATGCTGGCTCAGGAATTCTGGGAGTTGAAGTCCACGAGTCATAAAAGAGCCAAGGTTGCCTGCCCAAGGCCCACACCCTGCATTTTCTCCCTCTCTGTGTGGGTTAAAAGAACAATTGCCAGCTGACATTTTAAGTCGGTGGAATTAGAAAACGTGCTTTCAAGAGACGTCGGGTGGCTACAGCACTCTGGATATTCTTCTGTGGTACAAACAGGTCAAATCGATGGGCAGGAGATTACCGCCACAGCTGTCTTAACTCCTCGACCAAGACCTCTCCCCAGGCGTTTTACCCCTCCCAGAAGGATGTTGCTACCGCCCCCTATGTGGCGCCGCTCGCCACCACGCATGAGGAGAAGGTAAGTTGCCTTAATCGGCGATGCGGGTGCCCTATCTGAAATGAGACATTCCTGAAATGCCACTCTATGGCTGTAGGGTGCAATGACATCTTTACAAGCTGTCAGAATTTCTCTCTGTCTCATCTTGTACCAAACAAAAAATGCAGGATTATTTGGAGGTGGTTTTTTTTTAACTTCTCAACACTGTCTTCAACCTCTGGACTGTGTAATCTCTTCTCCAGATCTCTCCTTAATGGCTCTTGCGTTCTCTCTGAATCCCTTCACAGTAAAGCCGGGCCATTGTGGTTAATCTGGTATGCATCTTTCTCTTCCGCTCCTGCACCTTCATCGAAGCAGTATTTTTGGAGTGGAAGTGTACGTAACTTGTCGCAACAAGTTTGTTAAAAGTTTTCAATTGTCAGAAGGATTCTTGAAACCCCTCCTTGGGAGCCATTATTGAGGTCATCAAAGGGGATCTCTCCTAAGTTTTATTATAGAGGGACCCCAAATGCACTTAAGAAACCTGAGTTTCCTGTTCAGAAAAAGGAAGACAATAAATAAATAGCCTATGACAGGGCTTTTCAACCTTTTCACCCATTGTACCACTTTTAGGATATGGCAACATCCAAGTACCACCAGTCGCCTAGTAAGGTGTCAAAAACTTGATGACCCCCCCCAAAAAAGAAAAAAGAGATAAAGTACAGGTAGTCCTCGACTTACAACAATTCGCTTAGTGACTGTTCGAAGTTAAAATGGCACTGAAAAAAGTGCCCCCCAAGCCACAGCCGAGCAAGACACCTGCCTGCCTGCCCGGCAGCGCTCTTCCTCCCGTCCGAGGTTTTCATTGTTGTGAGCATTTCTGTTGAGGATTGGCAGCGGAGGTGGGGTGGGGGGGTGTTTCGTTTTTATTCCCCCCGTCTGCTGGGTGGTTGCAGCAGGTTTTGGTCACTTCACATGACCCTGGGACACTGTGACCGTCATAAATATGAATCAGTTGCCAAGCATCTGAATGTAAATCACAAGACCCTGGAGATGCTGCAACATTCCAGCTGATCGGCGCTTCTTCTGGGCTCATCAGAAGCACCAGGATCAGCGCCGAGCTCCAGCTGGATCCTGGCGCTGATCCTGGTGCTTCCGCTGAGCCCTGACAGCCCTGTAGCTCCAGCCGTCTCTCGCTCAGGCTTGTGCGGTGCTGCCACCAGTTCAGCTCATTCCCCTCCCGCGCTATCATTTTTCTAGGATGGTCGCGTACCACCTGCCAGGTGCCAATGTACCACAGGTGGTACCTGTACCACTGGTTGAAAAGCCCTGGCCTATGAAGCATCTCTGAATTGTGCTGATCATCCTGTACTAAGTACATGCAGCTCTTCTTCAGCTGAAGCCCTTCCCTCTAACTCTTTCCTTTCAGATCCAGGTCTCCCAGGCGCAGATCCCCAGTTCGCAGGCGATCCAGATCCAGATCTCCAGGCCGGAGGCGTCACCGCAGCCGATCCAGTTCCAATTCTTCTCGATAAAAGCACAGGACTAGGCAGCTGTGGGGTTGTTTTTTTTAAAGTTCAAAGTGCACCCATTTAAAATGGTATCTTTTTTTAAGACAAAAAATTTGGAAAGAATAAAGCAAAGGGACCGTTGAGAAATGATTAAAAACTAGCTAAGACTCTTGCATCTGGTAGGGTGGAGTTGTTCCTTGGGTTCTGACATTCTCAAAAAGAATTTGGTTATTTTAGACACAAATCTTTACAACTCCCGAGAAAATTGGTTGCTTCTCAGACACGCCCAAATGGCTTGGACACGTATCTCAGTGTCAAAATGTCTTTGTCCCCTTTCACTAAATCAGTAAATTTTTATACCCCCACTTTGTTTCTAATTCTCCTGCCAGCCCAAAGTTACATTTTGGCTGTTGGCAGTATTGGTTGCTGAATCTGTGACAAACTGAAAACACCCCTTAAATTAAATCTTGTTAGAAAAAAAAAAAACCCAGTTCCTGCCAACGACGCTGTAAATCTTTTGCTTTTTAGAAGATGTGCAAAACACACAAGCTGAAAAATCGTATTTTCCTGATCTCTGTTTGGGAGGTGGGTGGGAGCAAGGATTTTGTGATTTGGAATAACCGAGGTTCAGTTTCTAATAGGCCAGACAGCCTTCGGCCTGTTGTACAGTCATTACTATAAAGTTTGATTTTTGTATAACTTGGTGGCATCTTGTAGTCATGTTGTGTTTGTACTTGTGTAGAATGACAAATAAACCAGTAAGGTTTAGGGTGTGAACGAATTATTGCTCATTGAAAATTACGGTAGTCATCTTGGTCTAATATTTTAGCAAAGAAGCTTGCAATGAATGCTGGTCACCACTAACAAGGATCAGAAAAGCTGTTCAGAGTGTCTAGATTAGGCTTCCCTAATCTGGTGTCTTCTGGGTCAGTTAGGACTACAACTCGCAGCTAAGATGAATTGTCACAGCGTGTGTGGATTGCCCTATATTGGGGTGAAGATTATATACTTAATAGTTTAACTCCATAGACCATGATTCTCAACTTTGGCAGCTTTAAGGTGTGTGGACCTCAACTCCCAGAATTGAGAAATGCTGCCATAGACATTTTTAACATGATTGGCTCTTGCAGTCTCTGTTAATAACTATGGAAAGGGCAGTTAATCTCAGATCAAAAACTTGGATAGTAACTGTAAATGCAATGTTGAGTAAATCTGTGGGATCAGTAGAATTACCGTTGCAGTAATTTCGAAGGGGATGTTCATAGTATCAACCCATTGATTTCTCAAGAAAGTACATACCCGTATCTCTAAATCTATGTTTCTGTTTCCGTTCTTCTGAGGAAGTGCTGGAAGTCAGTGCTAACTACATTCTGCTACATGGTTAACAGATATACACACATACACTCCTATCTCATTCTGCTTCATGATTAGACCAGATCCAGATGATTGAAAATGTAATAAATACATTAAGAGCTAACATGAGTAATTCAGGTGCCCAGATAACCAACATCTTGTAGATATTCACTGTTTCATGTATGGACAAAGGCCAATAATATGAAGCAAGCTGCAGTTTCAAACCTTTTCTTCACTATTTAAAATGTACAAATTCAGGCAGTTGTGTGGATGCAGTAACCCATATAGAAACACATGGATTCTAGGGTTTATCCATAATCATCTGTGATCTATTGTTATTAACATGCTTCACAGTTCATTGTGAAATGGCAAGCAAGGAACCTGTTGGTGCGCCAAAAGAATTAGAATCAGAAAAAAATTGGCCCAAATAACCAAGCAAGCCGACAGGCTAGATTTATCTCCCTGAAGGATGGAATAGAATGAAAATAGAATAGAATAGAACTGGAAGGGACCTTGGAGATCTTCTAGTCCAGCCCCCTGCTCAAGCAGGAGGATCTATACTATCTCAAACAGGTGAATATTTTGTTAGTTGCGAAGTCGTGTCCGACCCATCATGACCCCATGGACAACGTTCCTCCAGGCCTTCCTGTCCTCTACCATCTTCTGGAGTCCATTGAAGCTCACGCCTCCTGCTTCAGTGACTCCATCCAGCCACCCCATTCTCTGTTGTCCCCTTCTTCTATTGCCCTCCATCTTTCCCAGCATCAGGCTCTTCTCCAGTGAGCCTTCTCATTAGGTGGCCAAAGTACTTGATTTCAACTTCAGGATCTGGCCTTCTAAAGAGCGGTCAGGGTTGATCTCCTCTAGGACTGACCAGTTGGATCACCTTGCAGTCCAGGGGACTTGCAGGAGTCTTCTCCAGCACCAGAGTTCAAAGGCCTCCATTATTTGTCTCTCAGCCTTTCTTATGGTCCAACCTTCACAGCCATAGATTGTCTAGTCTCTTCTTAAAAACCTCCAGTGATGGAGCGCCCACGATTCCTGGTGGCAAGCTGTTCCACTGGTTGATTGTCCCCACTTTTAGGAAGTTTCTCCTTTGTTCCAGGTTGCTTCTCTCTTTGGTCAGCTTCCAACCATTGTTTCTCGTCCTTCACTCTGGTGCTCTGGTGAACAACCTTTTGGAACTTTTTAATATTTTCTACTCCTTATTGTAAACGTCCTGAACGTACAAGCTCATTTTGAACACTTGGTAGGCCCGCAGTGTTTCTCAACCTTGACAATTTTAAGGCATGTGGACTTCAACTCCCAGAATTCCACAGCCAGCAATGCTGGCTGTGGAATTCTGGGAGTTGAAGTCCACATGCCTTAAAATTGTCAAGGTTGAGAAACACTGTGGTAGGGGAATGCTATGGAGGAGCGGTCCTTTCGTTACTGTCTCTTTAAGAAGGGGGTGTGGGCGGGACGAAGGGCGGCTTGGCGCGCCACTTTTGACCAGTCGCGGAGAGCGCTAATTCATCGGAGCGATGATAGAGCGGGAGCTAGAGTGGCGCTCCATCCTTAACTTCCTGTTACGAGGGAACAATGCCTCGTGTCTCTAGGAAAAAGGCAGAGAAAGGAGAAATTCTAGAGCGCCCTCTGTTTTCTTCCGGGGGCGCGTTGGAAGAACTCGGGTCGGCGTCGTTCAGTAAGTGATAACCCAAATTTTATTTCCATAGGAAATAAAACCCTTTGAATAGAAATGGGCGTCTTTTGGAATATTATATTCTCTCACTGGCAGGGCTGGCTTGTGTCTGTGTTCAGACGCTCTGGGGTTGGTAAAAACACCAGTGTCGGGTTCACACGTGACGTGCAGTGCATAAAGCCGTCAATGCTGGAGCACGGGTGTGGGTTGCCATAAACTAGCCAGTCCAATGGGGCTGGGCTGGGGTGTGGGCCGTAGCAATGCATTAGATTTGTATGCCTTATAAACTTATTGCCATTATTATAAACCTATGTTTTCCTTCCCAAAAGACCAACCACAGGCGGGTGAATAAATGATGTATTCTGATGTATTCTGAAGCTCTTTCGTTGTCTCAATACAGGGGGTCTTCAAACTTGGCCCTTTGATGACTTGTGGACTTCAACTCCCAGAATTCCTCAGAATTGTATGAATTCTCTTAGAAGAATTTTTAAAAACAGTAAGGTGTTTTTCTTCTAAGAGAAGCAATATAATTAATAAGAATTCATATAATTATAATTCATATAATTCTGGGCATTGAAGTCCACAAATCATAAAAGGGCCAAGTTTGAAGACCCCTGTCTTAATAGTACAGAACGAGTTCCTGTTTTTCTTAGAGAACAGTAAAGAGAGCCATAATAATAATAATAATAATAGTAGTAGTAGTAGTAGTAGTAGTAGTAGTAAAGTTGGAAGGGACCTTGGAGGTCATCCAGTCCAACCCCATGCTCAGGCAGGAAACCCTATACCATTTTGGACAAATGGCTGTCCAGTCTCTTCTTAAAAACTTCCAGTGTTGGAGCATTCACCGCTTCTGGAGGCAGGTTGTTCCACTGGTTAATTGTTCTCACTGTCAGGAAGTTTCTCCTTAGTTCTAGCTTGCTTCTCTCCTTGCTTAGTTTCTACCCGTTGCTTCTTGTCCTGCCTTTCAAACTAAATGGTTAGTTTGAAAGTGTGTTGTCGCCGGGGTGGGTGTGGGTGGGTTATTATTTTGTTATTTTTATGCTTGTTATTTTTATTCTTTTTATATAGAGTGTTTCATATCTGTATAAGCCGCCTTGAGTCACCATGTGTGAATAGGCGGCAGTATAAATTTTCTAAATAAATAAATAAAAAGAGTGCCTTCCTATCCTCTTCTGAATGGTTTATCAAACTTTTCGGGGTTGTTGTTTTTTTCCAGAAGCAACCAGGAGAAAATGGATCCTAACTTGCATGATGTTCGTCATACAGTTAAAGAAGCAATGGACACCCTATGTTCTTCCAGAGATAGTGCCCAGATCCAGAAGACTTTGTGGACAATCGGGAGGTATCTGGATCAATCTGAAAATCCACCCTCCATAAAACAGAAGGAAGAATTTACCAGCCATCATTTTACTGCCTTTGTTCAGTGTCTGCTCAGCAACCTGAGTCCTGATTGGCCGGAACAATTTCCATCAGAGGAAGCCAAAGAACTGTGGGCTAGCTTTTTCATGGATGGACCAGCAGATCAATCTTTTATGGTTCTACTAGATGCTATAATTTCTGCAGAGTAAGTACAATCTCTTTCTCTATAATTATATCATTGCATCAAAAGCTGCCGTCTTCCCCTGGAGGGCTACCCAAATAAAAGTTGTCAATAAGTTGTTATGTTATGGTACTTCTCCCAGCAGGCCGAGTTTTCGTCTGAATAAAGCAGTTGATACCCTGGAGCAATTCTTACAGAAATCGAGACTCTCTGCTTTAATATGGGAAATCTGCAAGCAATACACAGAAACTGGTTCCCCAGTTCTGCGCGAAACGATTCTCAACAAAGTTGTATGTTTACCTGATCACTTAGGAAACAAACTCCAGGGAGACAACCGACCAGTCTTCTACCCTCAAAATTATTTTCCATTGCTTGGCATGGAAATTGTCCAGGTGATGGAAAGAATTTCTGGTTCACTACGAGGTAAGAGACAGGATTTGACTAACAAATTAAGATATCTAGGGCAGGGGTAGGCAACCTTGGCTCTTTTATGACTCGTGGACTTCAACTCCCAGAATTCCTGAGCCAGCCACGCTGAGGGGAAAGGGAGAGGTTTCCAAGCTGAGTCAGGCTGGCTCAGGAATTCTGGGAGTTGAAGTCCACGAGTCATGAAAGAGCCAAGGTTGCCTACCCCTGGTCTAGGGGATGATTAGGCAAAAACTGTGCTGTGAATTGCTGAAAGAGAGGGATGGGTGTATGAGCAAAAGTAAGGATGCGTGAATGAACGTGTGAACAAAAATAAATACAATTATAGGAGAAAATGATTTTTTAAAACAGTAAGGTGTTTTTCTTCTAAGAGAATTCATATAAACAATTCTATATGCTGCCCTTGAAAATAGAATTTACTCCAAAGTCTACAAGTGGGCAAACTTTGATCTTCCAGGCATAAACTCCCACAAGAAATAATGGCAGTCCAGTCTGTCATTACCTAGACCGGTGTCTTTCAACCTCGGCAGCTTTAAGATATGTGGATTTCAACTCCCAGAATTCCCCAGCCAGCATGCTCACCAGAATTCTGGGAGTTGAAGTCCACACATTTTAAAGTTGCTAAGGTTGAGAATCACTGACTTTGAGAATGTTTCTGTTTTTATCTTCAAGTGTGTTTTGGCTGGCTTGGAGAAAGTTAAAGCAGACTGAGTACTGATTAAGAAAAGGATTTTGGGATAGAAACCCCTTCGGGATCTGACCAATTCCTTCACTGTTGTCCTTTTATGTATTTCCAGATGGCTTGGATTGTTCCATCTCCTTTGTATCTCAAATGCTGGGAAAGGTCTGTGTGCATGGAAGACAAAGTGAGTACATAACTATCGATGTGATATTGTTCTTTTTCTGCCGCTGAGGTTGAGTGAAATACGTAAGTGGAGGATTACCTGTCATCCACAAGCTCTTTTTTTCTCTCCAAAATGTTACTGGTTTAAGATTGAGTATTTGAACTAAGCCAAAATGTAAGAAGTAATTTAAATATGTAGCAGATTGTTATTGAAAGAAAGAGAGGGTGCTTAATTTTCTTGTAGTCTGTGGTGCAAATGAAAACGTCTCGTGGAGCGTGATGGCTCACGTGGTTAGGATGCTGGGTTGGAGGTTAGCAAGCTCACATTCAAGACCTGAGGGCTGCTGTGGGATGGGGTGAGCTCCCATCATTTGCTCCAGCTCCTTGACGGGGACGTGAAAGGAGCCCTCAACGGGCATCCCCAGTCAACAGTGATGTCACCAGTTAATCCTTTCAACCCAGAAGCACTTTAAACAGTGCCTCTAACACGAACGGGATGGGAACAAAAATATCAAAGCACGCTGGGTTGCTTTTTTTGGACTGGACAACTTTTTTAAAACCTACCTTCCGAAAAGGAGCAAGGACAGCTTGTTTTATTAGCCCTGTCGACGATACAGGTCTGCTTTTTCCAATGATTTTGCTGTTTCTTAACGCAGAAGAAATCTTGAGCGTGTTGGTGCCTCACCTAACCGGTCGTACTCAGTCTGATTGCATCTGGCAGAGAATCTGTTGGCGACTATTTGAGAGCGTGCCGGATCGCTGGATGGAAGCAGTAGTCTGTGGCTTGGTCCAGGCAGTCCCAGGGTAAGATATAGTGGGAGAAGGTGGTGCCCTGACACATGAACCTTTCTCCTTTTTTTTTGTTGCAGCAGCACCTGGACCTACTGTGTTTCCCTGAAAATAAGACCGGGTCTTATATTAATTTTTGCTCCAAAAGATGCATTTAGGGCTTATTTTCCAGTTAGGGCTTATTTTCAGGGAAATATGGTACTAAATGCGTCCGTCTGGCTGACAATCTTAACTGGGGCTTATTTTGGGGGTGGCGCTTATATTACGAGCATCCTGAAAAATCATGCTAGGGCTTATTTTCTGGTTGGGTCTTATTTTCAGGGGGAAACGGTAGCAACCATCAAGAGACAGTTCTGCTGCAAGTTAAATCTCAACGCTGCTAACCTTGGATGTTCTTGCTTTGACAAGATATGAAGATGTTCTTTCTTATGCTTTACTCTTAGAATTAGATCAGTGTTTCTCAACCTTGACAATTTTAAGACATGTGGACTTCAACTCCCAGAATTCCACAGCCAGCATTGCTGGCTGTGGAATTCTGGGAGTTGAAGTCCACATGCCTTAAAATTGTCAAGGTTGAGAAACACTGAATTAGATGATGCTGAGGGAAGAGGCGGAATGTGGTGGGAGTTAGTTCGACATAACAATACTGTACTAGTGTGTGAATTCAGAGCTTGAAATAAGAGAGGATAAGAATTGGCGGGGTAGCAGAAAAGGAGGGAAAGCCTGCATTTCAAACTAACTGGAGAATGTGATTTATGACGGTTAATTGAAGGAGGGAATTGTGCTTTGAAACTATGTGCTCAGGGGAGGGGAATCCAGTTTTTGGCTTCAACTATGTTAGCGCCGAAGCTGTGCTACTCCCATAAAGATTCTTTAAGGTAAACAATGCCTCGAAGTTCTTTGAAGAGTTTCATCTGTCGGAACCATGGCATTAAAATTAGTCATGGGGCAATACTGTGTCTGAAAGCCGGTTTGGTCTAACGGTGAAGGTGCTGGCTGAGAAACCAGGAGACTGTGAGTTCTAGCCTTGCCTTAAGAATAAATGCCATGCTAGTGACTTTGGGCCAGTTCCTTTCTCTCAGTCCAACTCATTTCCCAAGGTTTCCATATTGTGGAAAACAGGTGGAAGAGGCAGTTTTAGGTATGTTCATTGCCTTGAGTTACTTATAGAATAATAAAGGTGGATAAAACCCACATCTGCTCCAAAATCTAGCGGCTTAGTTTTGAAGACTATTAGCAAGAAAACACAACAGTAAAGTTTCACTGCTCTTCGGTTTTGCTGGCTGCTGGTCATTGTGTGTGTCTCAGTTCACATATTATGCCAAGGAAAACCCCAATCACCTTGCAGCTACCTACTGGAGCGTGCGTCATGGAAAAAGAGGAACATGTTTGTTTTACGTGAGATAGATTGTGTGGATCATTCTCCAATCATTCCGGAATAGGTTTTATGTTCTTACGGCACCGTGCACTTTCTGAAATCTTTCTTGATTAGTGAAGCACAGAACACAAAAGCGATAAGAAGAGCCCAGTGTTAACATCACTGAATTTGATCGTTGCGCGTTTGCCTTGCTAGGCCGGCTGTGTTGTCGCGATTGCTGGGGAATTTGGTGGTGAAAAACAAGAAGGCCCAGTTTGTGATTACACAAAAGATGTTGCTGCTTCAGTACAGCTTTCCGGTGAGTTTCTCTGGGGGGGGGCATTAAGGAGGTGGGTGAGATGGGATGGAGTTCCCCACTTTTGAAAAGACGGAGGTCTTCGTCCTTTCCAAGCCAGAATTAAAACATGACAGTCAAGTTTACAAATCCCGTTATAAAGGGAGTGCTTGGTCACCAGATTTAGTTCCCTTATCAGAAGTCTCTGTGATAACAGGTAGTCCTCAACTTACGACCACATTTGGGACTAATTCAGCGAGTTGTGCCTGATTTTACAACCTGATTTTTTTTTTTTTTGCCATTGCTGTTAAATGAATCTCTGCGTTAAGTGAACCACACGGTCATTAAGCGAATCCAGCTTCCCCCATTGGCTTTGCTTGCCAGAAGCCAGCTGGGAAGATCACAAATGGTGGTCACATGACCCCAGGATGCTGTGCAACCATCATAAACACATGCCCTTTGCCAAGCTGCCAAATTTTAATCACGTGTCCGTGGGGATGCTGTGCCCGGTCGTAAATCACTTTTTCAGTGCTGTTATAACTTCAACACTCACTAAATGTGTGGTAAGTTGAGGGTTACTTCTAATTGTTACTTCCATGCATCTTCCATCCTGCTAGCAGTGCTTTGATTGCTAATTTGACAGCGTGTCGACTCTCTGATTTTATTCCAGACCAAGGTGCTGCAGACTCTCCTCGGCTACCTTGCCCTGGACACCACACGGCGTTCCTTACTGACCAAAGTAAGCAGTGTATTAACGGATGGGTTCATCGGTGGCCCTGCTACACCCAGAAGGGGGTTGAATGACGCAATCCTTGTGGTCATTTCAAGGTCTACGGGTTGTGCTTCTCTCTGTTGGAGAGAGGTAGATGGAGGCAGGGGTGTGTGCAGCATCAGAACGGATGTAGGCGTTAATCCAGAGACAAATTGCCCAATCTGGCCATCAGATGCTTGGATTCACACTGCTCAGTGAAAAGGGTAAAAGAAGTTGGTTGTTTAAAATGAAGACTCTTCCTGTTATTTTTTTTCTGCAACCGCCACCTTCTTGAGTAGGTTGGGCTCGAAGCGATCAAAAATCACCCTGGGAGCTTCCGTGGCTGATGTTGGACTTGAACCCGAGTCTCGTTACTCTTGGTCCAGCCCCTTCCCTGCTTCACTACGGTGGCTTTTCAAGGCGCTCCCCCTTCCCACGTCTGAATACATTTCTATAAATTGATAGATCACTCCTTGCTCTGTAAGAACCACCCTATAAGGTAGGTTGGGTTGACAGAACAGGAGTGACCCAAAGTTGATCGTGGTGGACTTGAATCTGGGCTTCCGTGGGGGCCAGTCCAGCATCTTCCGCAGGAAACGACCCTGAGTCTCTTCCTTCTGGCCCAAAGTGATGAGGTGGGAGGGGAAGGGAGGGGACAGAACGGAAAGCCCACTCCGATCTGATGCTGAGCTTCTGGTGCAGATCCTGAGAGAACTGCTGGAGACCTGGAGCAGCAGCAGCGCCGTGAAACACTCCCCAGCCGAGCAGCAGCTGTACATTAGCAAGGCCATCGTCCTCTGTCTCGCTCACCTGAAAGAAGAAGAAATCTCAGCCAACCGACAAGGTAAAAAGAGGCAGAAGGTGACTTTGGAGAGAGGATGGGGCAGAATTGGTTCCTTTCTCTGGTCTCAGGTCTTCAGCTTCCTTATTACAGCCATCGGCACCCCATTCTTCTCAATCCTTCCCTTCTTCCCTCCCCAACTTCTTTAGCCAAAATGTGAGTAGGAGGCATTAGAGCAGGGCTTTTCAACCAGTGGTACGGGTACCACCTGTGGTACAGTGGCACCTGGCAGGTGGTATGCGACCATCCTAGAAAAGTGGTAGCGGGGGAGGGGAATGAGCTGAACCGGTGGCAGCACCGCACAAGCCTGAGCGAGAGATGGCTGGAGCTGCAGGGCTGTCAGGGCTCAGCGGAAGCACCAGGATCAGAGCCAGGCTCCAGCTGATCAGCGCTTCGGGGGTGTCAGGGCTCAGTGGAAGCGCCAGGATCAGTGCCAGGCTCCACCTGGAGCTCGTCGCTGATCCTGGCGCTTCTGCTGAGCCCTGAAGAAGCAGCAATCAGCTGGAAAGCAGCACTGATCCTGGTGCTTCTGCTGAGCCCAGAAGAAGCGCCGATCAGCTGGAATGTTGTAGCCTCTCCAGGGTCTTGTGATTTTCATTCAGATGCTTGGCAACCGATTCATATTTATGACGGTCACAGTGTCCCAGGGTCATGAGAAGTGACCAAAACCAGCTGTAACCACCCAGCAGACAGGGGGAATAAAAACCAAACACCCCACCCCACCCCCGCTGCCAATCCTCAACAGAAATGCTCACAACAATGAAAACCTCGGACAGGAGGAAGAGCGCCGCTGGGCAAGCAGGCAGGTGTCTTGCTCGGCTGTGGCTTGGGGGACACTTTTTTCAGTGCCATTGTAACTTCGAACAATCACTAAGCGAACTGTTGTAAGTGGAGGACTACCTGTTACTTTATCACTTTTTTCCTTTTTTTTTTTTTTTTGGGTCATCAAGTTTTTGACACCTTGCTAGGCGACTGATGGTACTCGGATGTTGCCATATCCTAAAAGTGGTACAATGGGTGAAAAGGTTGAAAAGCCCTGCCTTAGAGAACGGGTGGGGAGACGGTCCAAAAAGCAAGCACCTGGTGGGAGGTGCCGAAACTCGTACTCAGATCCAAAGTTGCTTTTTTCAGGAGGCAACTGGACTTTTTTGTTTTTCTTTGAAGACGTTTCGCTTCTCGTCCCAGAAGCTTCTTCAGCTCGGACTGGAGGGTGGGACATGGAAGGATTTATACTCCTTGCAGACCGCTGGTCCTTTGCATTCTTTCAGAGAGCCGTTGAGGCCACTTGGAGGTTTACCTGTGTCCTCAGGGTCACCTGAGTGGTGCAAATGGGTGGGGGCCTTGGCTGCAGGATGTTTTCTGCCCTGTGTCCCTTCACTGTTGAGGACAGGCATACAGGCTGTTGGGGATGAGTCTGTTATCTGCATCTCAAACTGAAGCACAAATGGTTCCTGCAGTCTGCAATGATTTCTGGAAATCCATTTGTACTCTTTCACCATTCGAAGGGAGTTCATCCCCACGTGCACGGCTCAGCGTCTGTGGAGATTCTCAGATGTTTTATGGACACGTTGATCTGGCCTGATCAAGGGAATGCCCTGCATTTCAGGACGAACTTGCTCCATTGCTTCTGGTTTGTCTTTCCAGAGCTACTAACCAGCCTGATGGAGGGAATGAAGTGCCACCTGGACAGTAATTTGCCCCGGATCCGTCGGATGGGCATGGCCGTAGCAGAAGGGGTCAGCGCCCGGATAACGCCGGAAGGGCCCGCCTTGGTGTTTCAGGCAAGCAGCTAGAACGATTTTGCCGTGGGCTTTGTTGCAAAAACAGCACGCTAAGAAAAAAAAATCCTAATCTTAAATGCGTGGGAAGGAAAGCGTTTTTTTCTCTCTGCTTCTAGATCTTTCCACGGACGTCGTTGAGGGATTTCTGGCTGGGTTGGAGGCCCTGAGAAGCCATGAGTCAGCTGTGAACTGGGGCTGTGTGCTGGGTCTCCTGACCAAAATCAAAAACTTGCCTTCCACTTTTAAACAAATGACAGTTCCCTGTTGTATCTGAAGCTGGGAAACTGATTGATTAGGTTAAGCCAGGATCAGACTGTGGCAGGGCAGATACTCCTTGATTATAACTACGGCTTTTTTTTTTTTCAAAACTGAACTTTAGAGATATAATCTTTCGGCTGCGTGCTCAGCAGCCACTTTCTCCTAGTGGACAATCCCTTAAATATGAGCCAGCCGTGTGCTGCAGCTGCCAAAAAGGCCAACACAGTGCTGGGCTGCATTAACAGAGGGATAGAATCAAGATCATGGGAAGTGTTAATACCACTTTACAATGCCTTGGTAAGGCCACACTTGGAATACTGCATCCAGTTTTGGTCACCACAATGTAAAAAAGATGCTGAGACTCTAGAAAGAGTGCAGAGAAGAGCAACAAAGATGATTAGGGGACTGGAGGCTAAAACATATAAGGAACAGTTGCTGGAATTGGGTATGTCTAGTTTAATGAAGAGAAGGACGAGGGGGGACATGATAGCAGTCTTCCAATAACTCAGGGGCTGCCCCAAAGAAGAGGGAGTCAAGCTACTCTCCAAAGCGCCTGAAGGCAGGACAAGAAGCAACGGGTGGAAACTAATCAAGGAGAGAAGCAACCTAGAACTAAGGAGAAACTTCCTAACAGTTAGAACAATTAACCAGTGGAACAACCTGCCTCCAGAAGCTGTGAATGCTCCAACACTGGAAGTTTTTAAGAAGAGACTGGACAGCCATTTGTCCGAAATGGTATAGGGTTTCCTGCCTGAGCAGGGGGTTGGACTAGATGACCTCCAAGGTCCCTTCCAACTTTAAGAAATAATAAAAACAAAAGCCCAGGTTCCTGAATTAGGACTTGTGCTGATCCTTTTTCCAGAAATTAACCCGGATGCTAATCTCCTTAACCGATTTGATTTGTTCACATGTTCAACGTTTCAGTATGAAGAAGACGATGAGATTAAAGAACTGAAATCCTTGCTGACTCAGAGACTGGAAGAGACGTCGGACACTGAGCCCCCCAACCCTGGGTAAGGTTTAGCTTCATTTGGGGTGGTGGTGGTTCAGATGATGTTTTCTTATCCTGGTGACTTTGGCTTAGCAAGGAGTAAAGGTTCCCTATTGTCAACCTGAGTCCTGATGACTTCGTGAACCTGTCCCTAGAGTTGCTTAGTGAAGATACAGAAGTGGCATGCTGTCACTGCCTTCTGAGATCGTTTTTGGACTCCTAGTCTTGATTGGGGGTTTCCTTTTTGTCTCCCATCCACAGAGTAACCAAGCCTAACCCTGCTTAGCTTCCAAACCCAGAAATAGCCTAAACCAGGGGTCTTCAACCTTGGCCCTTTGATGACTTGTGGACTTCAACTCCCAGAATTCCTCAGCCAGGCACGCATGTGCCTGGCTGAGGAATTCTGGGAGTTGAAGTCCACAAGTCATCAAAGGGCCAAGGTTGAAGACCCCTGGTCTAAACTAATAAGCCACACTGCATTGGAAAGTGCTTTGCGCAGAAGAAAAGCAGATTAAATGGCCGTAGGTGTGTTGTATTGCTTCCCCAAATTTAAGGATCCTTTCAGTGGTTAAACTCCATTTCTAACTTGCCATGTCAGACCAGTTGCCTGTCATTGTACATCACGGTCTTTGTAGTGCCCGGTGAAGCATCTGGCATTTTAGGAGAATACTTTTGCATTCTTGAATAGTATTTTGTGGCCAGTTTATAATGAAGATACTTAACTGGAGTTGTGATCACCATCACCTGCTTGGAACATCCCTTATAACAGTGGTGGCGAACCTATGGCACGGGTGCCAGAGGCGGCACTCAGAGCCCTCTCTGTGGGCACGCGCGCCGTCGCCCCAGTCCTAGGCCTTCAGCTGGGTTTTATAAAACCTTTTCGCTTTAGGCCTCCGCCGCCATGTGCAAAAAAAAAAAAAAAGGTTCAATCAGTCAATTTCAACTTTTCGCGGGGGAAAAAAAAGATCTTGCAAAGTTGGAATTGATTAATTGAACTTTTTAGTCCCACCCAGTCTGCCGTTACCACTGCAGCCATGCCCACCCAATGGGCCACACCCACCCAATGGGCCACACCCACCCGGCACTCGACGATGCATAAGTGGGTTTTGGGTTGCAGTTTGGGCACTCGGTCTCTAAAAGGTTCGCCATCACTGCCTTATAAAGTAAGCGACTTAATTGCATTTAAGAGATGATAGAGAAAACCAAGCATTTAGTTGGTTTGGGACTGGAGGTCCCAGCCCAGCCCAGCCATAAAAGTCTTGTGAAAATCAAACCAAGGGCAGAATCAGCTACACCACCCTCTTGAACGATCTTATGACATCTCGAACATCTTAAAAGCTTAACCAGCCACCACATGAAGAGAATTCTAGGCTAAGCACGTAAACCCTCAGATATGAAGATGGGCCGTGTCTATATTTGTTAAACAAAAGAATACAAAAAATTAAAAATTGCAATCCCTTTTTCCTGTTATAGGGACAGCAGACCCAACAGGACAGCCAGCACAGATCTACATTCCAGTGTGACCCCACCAGACTTGGATACATCTGAAGACCCAGAAAAGGGAGTTGATTCCGAACTGGATAGGTGGGCTAAAAATGATCCATGGAGTCCTCCCCTTATGACCACGATTGAGCCCCAAATTTCCATGGCTCAGCAAGGCAGATGTTGAGTGACTTATGCCTCATTTTATAACCTTTTTGCCGCAGTTATTAAGTGAATCACACAGTCATTAAGGGAATCCTGCTTCCCCCATTGACTTTGCTTGTCAGGAGCCAGCTGGTGATCACACGATCTCAGGATGCTGCAACTGTCGCAAGTACATGCCAGTTGCCTAGCGCCTGAATTTTGATCACTTGACCAAAACAGTCGTTAAGTGTGAAAACCGGTCGTAAGTGCCGGTTTTCAGTGCCGTTGTAACTTAGAACAGTTCCTGAACAAAGGGCTGTAAGTCAAGGACTCTACTGCTAAGAAACAACAGGGTTCCAGTGCATAATGTTTGCTATTTGTGGGTGAATTGAGACACAGCGATGAATATCCTTTCCCGGATTTCTTTTGCAGCGATGACGACCTGGTCCCTTATGACATGTCACAGGATCAAGAGCTGAAGAAAACAAGAGCCCCCACCTACATCAGGGACTGTTTTGAAAGTAAGAGAAGAAGAAAGAACTGGAGGCCCTGGGATCCTTTTCTCCAGAGAATTGTTATCTCTGTCCACTTCAGGGCTCAAATTTGGGGAAACGGACCGGTTTACAACTTGCTGGGTTTGTCATCACCTGAATAAACCTTATCTGCATAGTCAGACATTGCACTGAAACGTAAAAAGTGGGTGGACACAGTGCCTTCCAGATTAGGGACTTCAGTTCCCAGAATTCCCCATCCGGAGTTGGTCAGAATTCTGGGAATTGGAAAGCACTCAAATTGAGGAAGCTGGACCAGGGAATGGCGGTTCCTTTCCTTGAATCATATGGATTAGAATAGAATAGAGCTGGAAGGGACCTTGGAGGTCTTCTAGTCCAGCCCCCTGCTCAAGCAGGAGAACCTATACCATCTCAGACAGGTGACTGTCTAGCCTCTTCTTGAAAATCTCCAGTGATGGAGTGCCCAAGAATTCTGGAGGCAAGCTGTTCCACTGGTTAATTGTCCTCACTTTTAGGAAGTTTCTCCTTTATTCCAGGTTGCTTCTCTCTTTGGTCACTTTCCAACCATTGTTTCTTGTCCTGCCCTCTGGTGCTTTGGAGAATAATGTGACCCCCTCTTCTTTGTGGCAGCCCCTCAAATACTGGAAGACTTCTATCATGTCTCCCCTATTTCTTCTTTTCTTTAGACTGGCCAAACCCAAGTCCTGCAGCCGTTCTTTGTATGTTTTAGTCTCCAGGCCTTTGATCATCTTAGTTGCTCTTCTCTGATTTTTTTCCAAACTTTTTTGTGATACGGTGACCAAAATTGGCTGCAGTATTCCAGGTGTGGTCTTACTAGGGTTTTTATAAAGCAGCACTAATACTTTGTGTGATCTTGATTCTATGCCTCTGTTTATACAACCCAGGATTGTATTAGCTTTTCTGGCTGCTGCGGCCCACTGCTGCCTCATAGTCAAGATATGTCTCTTTATTTATGCCAGTGTTTTTCAACCAATTCTAGCAATTCTAAAACGCTGGCTGGGGAATTCTGGGAATTGAAGTCCATGTATTTTAAAGTTGCCATGGTTGAGAAACACTGATGTGTATGTTCAATAAACTACCTTGTTCCACAGGCTCTTGGCCATGTAGCTGGTCGTTATAAGCACTTTGCAATTACAAACACTCGTTTGCTTTTTCACCCTCTCTTTGCTAATTCTTTTTCAGTGCTGCTTAAATGGCAAGCCGGAGGGCGAACTCTGTCTTACATCCATCCTGTAAGGACAGTAGGAAGTTTCTTCTGATAAATAAGCAATTTGTTTGTTTTTTTATCTGGAATTTGACAGAACCAATTGTCCTTGTAGCTCCTTCTCCGCATTTTCACACGGTCCTCTTCTGTTTCTTTAGTTCTGACCGGACCCGAAGATGCGGAAAAATACGAAGCCGCCGTGGGTGTTCTGGAAACTCTGATCCGGAGGGACACAGCCACCGCACAAGAGGTAAATGTGGCTTATACCTCTTTGCCTCACAATTCAGATTTGGAATTAGCCAGCTGGGATTGTAGGCATTAGGGATTTCATGGTTTTATAGCGATAGTTAATAACGCGAAGAGAACCAGTTTGGTGTCGTGGTTAAGACATCAGGCTAGAGACTGGGAAGCTGTGAGTTCTAGTCCCGCTTTAGGCACAAAGCCAGCTGGGTGACCTTAGGCTAGTCACTCTCTTCCAGCCCTAGGATGGAAGCAATGGTAAACCACTTCTGATATCTCACTAAGAATAATTCAAGGACTTGTCCTGGCGGCCTATGAGACACGATTGAAGAGAAGGGGGGAAATGAATCTATACAAGTTAAGATAACATATACAAGTTAAGATAATACTTCTTGTTCACTCTTTTAATGAAACCCTTTTCAAGACCTTGACTCCCTTCAGACTGCCTAATAAACTGTGGCTTATGCAGGTGGAGAAGCAATGTGTAAAGTGAGTCTCAAGGTGCCAAAATGGGAATCGGATTCTTCCCCCCCCACACACTACTTCATTAACCATAACTTACTGTTTGGTTCAACCCAGCAAACTAACCTCATTTCAAACCAACTGAGTTAAAATGTAGGTTTGAGGATTAAGCCAAAGGGTGGTTAAGGTAAAAAAAAAAAGGGGGGGGACTCCTTCCTTTCTTTGGAGTGTGGGAAGGAGTCTGAAGCCTGTATACCTATCTGGAGGATAAATCATGGTTTATTCACCATGTCTGGTTCTTTGCTCTTTTGGAATTTGCACATGCTCCTTGACGACTGAAATAATGGCTTTAGAACAGGCTTCTGAATTTGCTTTGTAGAATGTAAGTGAGGTAATAACGTTGAAAGGAGGAGTTGCTGTTTTTTCAGATTGCAACGTACTCTAGACTCAGCAAAACGGCGTAAAGTTGACTTCCGCCACCCAGCATTCGATAGCAAATTCAGGGTTATGAATTTTACCCTGAATTAAAAACTGAATTTGGAGGGGTACCTTCCCTAGTAAACTCAGGGTTGCCTCTGGGTTGTGTTCCTTTTGCACAGATGAGTGTGGAACTGGCAAAAGTCTTGCTCCACTTGGAGGAGAAGAGCTACATTGAAGGGTTCGTAGGACTTCGACAAGGTGCCTTGGTGGCTGTGACTGTCGCAGACCCCATCCGAGTAAGTCCTTGTATTGACTGTTGGGTGAAACAATTCACAACCTTGTAGGCAAGGGCCGTTAGCGAGGTTAGCTACGGAGTTGGGGAAAAGAGTGGAGAATTCTGGGTTTTCTGTGTGGGTTGTGGAAAACTCAGCTAGCTTACTTCACACAAGGAAGTTCAGTTCAACATCTGGAGGGGTATAGGGCAGGGCTTTTCAACCAGTGGTACGGGTACCACCTGTGGTACATTGGCACCTGGCAGGTGGTACGCGACGATCCTAGAAAAGTGGTAGCAGGGGAGGGGAATGAGCTGAACCGGTGGCAGCACCACACAAGCCTGAGCGAGAGATGGCTGGAGCTGCAGGGCTGTCAGGGCTCAGCGGAAGTGCCAGGATCAGTGCCAGCTCCAACTGGAGCTTGGCACTGATCCTGGTGCTTCTGCTGATCCCTGAAGAAGCACCAATCAGCTGGAAAGCAGCACTGATCCTGATGCTTCTGCTGAGCCCAGAAGAAGCGCCGATCAGCTGGAATGTTGCAGCATCTCCAGGGTCTTGTGATTTACATTCAGATGCATGGCAACTGATTCATATTTATGACGGTCACAGTGTCCCAGGGTCATGTGAAGTGACCAAAACCTGCTGCAACCACCCAGCAGACGGGGGGGGGGAATAAAAACCAAACACCCCCCACCCCACCCCCGCTGCCAATCCTCAACAGAAATGCTCACAACAATGAAAACCTCGGACAGGAGGAAGAGCACCGCTGGGCAAGCAGGCAGGTGTCTTGCTCGGCTGTGGCTTGGGGGGCACTTTTTTCAGTGCCATTGTAACTTTGAACAGTCACTAAGCGAACTGCTGTAAGTCGAGGACTACCTGTACTTTATCACTTTTTTCCTTTTTTGGTCATCAAGTTTTTGACCCCTTGATAGGCGACTGGTGGTACTCGGATGTCGCCATATCCTAAAAGTGGTACAATGGGTGAAAAGGTTGAAAAGCCCTGGTATAGGGTTCCTCTTCCTACACTCCAGAGCAGTAGAAAGTCAGTGCTAGAAGGGTAGAGCTCATTAGTTCATTCTAGGAAGGAGCAAAGACTTCCAAGATCCATGACACAAAAGCATCTTTAGGGTTGCTACCGGAATACTTTGCCCTCTCTTTTGTACCTACCTTGCCACTCGTGAAAATAAATAAAGGGAAAGTTGGAAAAACGCGAAAGTCATGAAAAACATCTGAACCAAATGCTCGTCTCCTTGTTTTCTAGGTGGCCAATTATCTAACGTCAGAATTCTACTCCCTGAATTACAGTCTACGTCAACGTATGGACATCCTGGATGTGGGTGACTCCTGCTTGCAGAAACTATTTAAGTCGGAGTTACTTTAAATGTCATTTAAATAGAAGGGGGAGTAAAATGTCTGACGGGAAGATCTGTACAGTAAGGGAAAGGTCTACCTATGGAGGTGGCGAGTTCTCAATTTTTGAAGATTGCAAAGAAGAGACTGATAAAACTGCCTGCCAGGGATAGTTTGAGTCAGTCTTTCTCAACCCTGGCAGCTTTAAGATGCTTGTCGTAGGGATCTTTCCACCTCACGGCCTCTGGTTTCTCCATCCAGGTGCTGGCTGTGTCTGCCCAGGAACTGTCTCGGCCAGCTTCATCTCCCTCAAAGCCAAATGCCAGTCGTCCCAGTATCCAAATCATCTCTCATGACGCTTCTTCTCCAGACTGGAAGAAAGTGGTGGATGAGAGGATCAGAAGCAAGACTCGGAGATTTGCAAAGGTGGGCCAGGAAAATCCACCCAGTTTAACGAGACCTTTTTACCTTCAGCGATCTCTTCGGCTTCCCACAACTGCCCAGGGTGAACCACTTGGCCTCCGTTCAGCAGGGCTGAAGCCCCCAGAAACGGCACTGGAGTCAAAACGCAACCGATGGGTGGTGCTTACTCTGTTGGAGGATCATCTCTGTTTATTCTGAAGTCCTACCTTGTAGAAGACCGTCGTGCTTCTCTCTACTTCCAACCCATTCCCCATGGGATGAAATGCAGACCTGGAGAAAGGGGGGGGGAATCTGAGCAGCTCCACAGTTTCCCGAGGCAACACATTCCAGAGAAAAGGCCAAAACAAGAGATTGGACAGTCCCAGACTAAATGGGGGAAGGAGGAAGAGGCTTAGGGTAGCCATACCCTAGAATCTCTCCGGATACATCCATTAGGTTAGAAGGCCATAGCTTTAATCTGGCAAGATTCTGTCTATTAGGCGTAAGCAAATAAAGGGTTGAACTTGATTGGATTTCATTGGGCTATTTTGGGGCTTGGGCCCGACACTGTTTCAGCCACAGTTCCTTTCATTCAGTGAGAATGTTTGATAGTAGTAGGGAAGGAGAAGGTAAGGGGATATGCTGGAGGGAGAATTTAACCCTTCCCTAAGGGTTAGCCCCTGACCTTGTGTAGAGCCCTAAAGACCTGGTTCGGGGCCTGGCTTGGGGCCACCAAAAAGGACCCTTCCCTTAGTGCTGTTTACGTATTATTTTCCTTGGCTGCTGCGTATTTTGTTTTTTTTGTACTCAGGATATATTTGTGTTTATTCTATTTGCTACTGTTCACCACCCAGAGTAAATTGTTGAGATGGGCAGCTTTACAAATGGATCTGAAAAAAGAAATATGGGTTTTTCAACCTCTTTCCTGTTTCCCATGCTTATAGGGCATGGACCGAATACAAAACAATCTCTTGCAAGCAACAAAACTCTTCCATGGCTCTATTTTGGGAGGGAAAACTCAAGATGTCACATCGTCAAAGTGTCTCCTGCTGCCTCGTATCCAACCCTTATTCTTTGTCTGAAACAGGGTCGGTCCCAAGCAGAACAATTGGGCACCCCTAACCAGTTTACTCCAGTTGCTGGCCATTTCTTCTTCCCACTTCTTCGGAACTTTGACAGGTGAGACCCCCTCAATCTTCAGGTCCTTTGGGAACAGATTTCCTTTTAGGGATGCAGCTGCTTTAATGAGCTGCAGATCACATACAATCTAGGGAAGATCTGCAACTGCTTTAATGGGCCGCGAGCCAGAACTGTGTGTGTGCGTCCTTCTGTTATTCTGAAGCATCGCACAACCCTTGCAAATCCCACGCAAGAAATTGTGTGATTGCCATAGCCTATTACCACGCTGGCTCGGGAATTCTGGGAGTTGAAGTCCGCCAGTCATAAAGGGCCCATAGTTCCTCACCTCTGCTGCATTATGTTGAGCTTCAAACAATTAATTCGAAGTGAACCGCAAGGGGAACTGTTGCCCAGCCCGTGGCTTGCTAACCCAATCAAAACATTTGCTTTTTCTCTGCCTTCCAGGCCTCTGACCACCTTTGACCTTTTGGGGGACGATCACCTGGTGCTAGGTCGACTGGTGCACACGCTGGCGATTCTCATGTATTTTGCTGTCAATGCTGCGGTGAGAAGAATGGAGAGCTTCCCTCGTGGGCTTTGAAAGCCCTTCGTGGGCTCTGCTTCCTTTGCCATTGGGGGGCATGGGAACCCTCAGAGGGTGGGCACGGCCTCAACTTTGTTGTTGTTAGTTGCGAAGTCGTGTCCGACCCATCGCGACCCCATGGACAATGTTCCTCCAGGCCTTCCTGTCCCCTATCATCTTCTGGAGTCCATTGAAGCTCACGCCTACTGCTTCAGGGACTCCATCCAGCCACCTCCTTCTCTGTCGTCCCCTTCTTCTCTTGCCCTCCATCTTTCCCAGCATCAGGCTCTTCTCCAGTGAGTCCTTCCTTCTCATTAGGTGGCCAAAGTACTTGAGTTTCAACTTCAGGATCTGGCCTTCTAAAGAGCAGTCGGGGTTGATCTCCTCTAGGANCGGCTGGCGACCCCAAGGGGGAGGGCCTTCTCTGTGGGAGCTCCCACCCTCTGGAATGAGCTGCCCCCAGAGATCAGGGTGATCCCTGATCTCCCTTCCTTCCGCCGCGCCCTCAAGACATGGCTGTTCCAACAAGCGGGACTGGCCTAGGATAATTTTTAAGAGGGGTTTTTAGAGGGGTTTTTAATTACTTTTTAATCAGACAATTTAAATATTTCATTTTAATTAATTTTAATTTTGTAATTGTTATTGGTGTTTTTAATCGATTGTCAGCCGCCCTGAGTCCGCAAGATGAAGGGCGGGATATAAATTCGAATAATAAATAAATAAAATAAATAAAAGGAGCAAAGAGTCGCCTGGTGCCAGTCAGGACCCGGGGCAAAAATGGGGCATTAGATGATCTGGGTGGTACTGTTTGGTCTCGAGGGTGGGGTGAGATTCATAAATAGGGTCTCCTGCATGGATACGGGGTTGGATTAGAACAGCGGCCCCCCCAATCTTTTGAGGACCCCGGACCGGTTCCATGGGGGTGTTTTTTCTGAGGCCTGGGGGGGGGAGCGTGCATGGAAGGGGCTTCACTCGCTTGCACGGCCCGGTTCCCGGCGGGGTGTGGACCGGTGCTGGTCCACAGCCCAGGGGTTGGGGACCCCTGTTCTAGAAGACTTCCAAGGTCCCTTCCAAGTCTGTTATTCTGTTACGTAGCCAAGATGGAAGACGAACGTTTTTGTTCGTCAGTGTGTTAGAACAACGCTGCAACCGTTCAGTGCCAACTAAAATGGGAAAGAAGTAAACTAAGTTACTCACAGGAGCTTCCAGACTGCAAGAGAAACGGATAGAGGCAGAAAAGAGAGCAGAGCGAATTTGCCTTTCAGTTGAGCATAAATTTACATAACAGTTATAGAACTGTTATGTAAATTTCTGCGCTTACTCCCCCCCTTCTCATTTAGCCCTTTGCTCTGATGATGTTAACAGGTTGTTAACGAAAGCTCAGCAATTAATAAAAAAAAAAGCCTTTTACCTTACATCCCAGAGTGCTTTATTTTTATCTGATTGACTTTAAATGTCCATACCTGGGATTCCAATATTCAAAATTATCAAAGACATATATATATATTAATTTGTTTAGCACTTTGGCGTATTTGGGGCCCTTGTGGATGATGGTCTTTAATGCACACTTAGCCCCCGTTCTCCAAATCTCCTGCCACTTTAGCAAGAGAGCAAGGCCGTGGGAGTGAGTCATGTACCCAGCCTGACCCGGTGCCGGAGTCGAACGCTCGACTTCTGCGCACAGGATATCCTCACCGTTTTTTGGACTTCTTTCGTCTCATATCCTGATTTCCATTTTGCAAGCGGATCAGAAACAAAGATGCCAGGCTGCACGCACACACACGCACACACACAGACAGACAGACACAGACACACACAGAGAGTTGCTCCTGCCTCCAAATCTCCTGTCTTGGGTCAGAACTTGAGCAGTTTAGGATGCTTTTGTGGTGGCCTCTGCGTCCTGGTGGTGGAGAATAAGGAGACTTCAATCGTCGTGATTTCTCTTAGGTTTTCTGTATAGCATTCAAAGCACCAATGCCTGGCCAAGCTTCAGCTGCCTTAGATATGGCCTGTAAGCCAAGATTGAGCGAGCAAGCCAACATCCTCTTGTAGCAATGAAGTAAAGGAGGTGAGGCCATCTCATGCACGTGGGCTGAACTGGAGTTTAACCTGAAAAGGGATATTTTTTTTTGTATTTTCTTTAAAGATTCAGGGAATACACTGTAAAATTCTCCACGTGTTTCCTCCCTCAAAATTGCAGAAAACTCTCCTTGTTTTTAAGTGTTACAATTGTGGGGAATTCAGTTCCCCATATTTTGATCTCTGGGGCGGGGGAGAAAAGAATTGGATTCAGTGCTGTGTAATATGTGGGGTTTTCTTTTTTGTATTTTGGTGTATATTTCCAAGGATTATTTATGCCCCATCATACAAAGGAAGGCATATTTCTTTTCATAACTGGAGAAACTGCGCTGAGGTTGTGGATGGCTGTTTGGAGGTTCTTATTGCAGACTTACTTTATTTAAAGTAAATTAAAATTTTAAAAAGGCATCTCTGGGCGATGAAAAGTAGAAGTCCACCG